TGAAAATGGGGACTTTTTTGATGATGATGATGAACTCAACTAACTACAACGCATCGTGTTGTGAACACGTCCTGTAAATTTTAAGTTTTTATCAATACTGTGCCACCTTATTCCAAAAGCAAAAGTCTACTTATGTCTTCGTGTTTGATGCCACGCATTGCGTTTTCCGTGCGTTTTCATCTGCCTTTGGTCTCTAATCTGAGGGTATGAGTGATATATTAGGGTATAGCAACCACAGAATATAGCAACCACAGAATATAGCAACCACAGAACATAGAAACCTCTTCCTGTGTTCTGTGGTGGCCGCTTACCATCAGACGGGCCATACGGCCACCATATGTTTATTAATTATGGTTTGCCACCCTTTAATCATAACAATGCCGCACTCCGTACAATACTCACTGCCTTATTAATAAACGAAATAAATGAAATTGGAATTATGGACTTCGGATTTCCCTAGATAGGTACGTGGATTTTTCGACGTGTTTTGCTTAGTGTTATACGAGCTCGATGGCGCAAGTGGTTAGCGCATTCGGCTGCGATCGTTGACTGCAACTTTCGCAGTGGTCGGTCATTGGATGGGTGACCAAAAGTTTACTATCTCGAGCTCCTCCGTGCTTCGAAAGGCACGTTAAGCCGTTGGTGCCAGCTGCATCTGCACCCATCAATCCGCACCCACCAATCCGCACTGAGCTAGCGTGGTGGATCATGGCCTTATCTCCCTATTCCATCTTTGTGGAATGGCCTGTGCCCCAGCAGAGGGGACATTAATAGGCTGGTGATGATGAGTGTTAATACTTGCATGTTAAATGAGCCCATCATATGCGAGTCCGACTGGATAGAAGGGTGGATGGAAGATGATAGTCAGTAACGGTTATGAGCACAGTGCCTAAAATGCAAGATGCCACTGCTGCAAAAATACTTAACACGTCAATAGACTAAGAAGCAGATAGCCTTTTTACCTTTCATTCTAGGCAGTCTGCCTTTAAGGCAACATGACATGTTAGAAAGAAAGAAGAAAGAAAGAAAAACATTTATTGGTTGCACAGCATACATACATTGAAAACAAAACAGATTTGAAAGAACATAACAACAAAGACGAAAAAAAAAACAAATAATAATAAACAAAAAAACAAAAAAAACAACTAAACTAATCTGCTGGTGTTGCTGTGCAGGGCCAACAGGTCGCTGTCTCAGCTATGCTACTGTGGTAGTACTTTGGCAATACCACAGCAGCGCTGATTTAGGCATTTTTGCAGCATATCTATAGCTATAGCAGACCCGAACTTTTTTGCAAAACTTTTGAAAGGGAACAATTCCGTCATACATGATTTTTGTGTAATTTTTACAATTTTTAATTATTAATATTTTTTCATTGGTGCTCTGCTCCTATTAGTCGTAGCGTAGCATTATGTTTTATTATATATATATATATATAACTTACTTAAAGCCTTCCTCGGTACACGCGTTATCAAACATAAAAATATTTTTTGAAATTGGACAAGTAGTTCCCCAGATTAGCATGTTCAACCAAACAAACAAACACTTCAGCTTTATAATATTATGGCGCAATTTCACTTGGTTGTTAGCCCGAAAACAAGTGCCAATGTTATTCGGTGTAAGTGAACGGAGTTGAGTACACCCATATTCGGGTAGATTTCCTGTTATTACCCGACACTGTCTTCCAGTGTAAATATTGCTTCTGGTACCAAAAATCGAGTAATGTCTTTTGTGGACCCGAAAACGGCCTAACAACCAAATTTAATTGTGGCCTATAATATAATAAAATAAATTTAATATAGATAATTCATGGAGTTCTAGTAGTAATGTTATAACACGGGAGGTTTGCCATAAAGTAAAAACTGGCACACTCAGCAATTACATAGTTAGAATAATTATGAAAACTGGTTATCAGTTTTTGATTCCACTGTCCAAAGTTCAAAATTTGTGCCAAAACTGCCGCATCATTCATTCACATTGAAATAACTTTTTTATTACTATTCACAGCACCACCAAGGATTGGAAGAACCAAATATTCAAAACTAATATCATATGAGTGAGACTTCCACGCATTCCTAGGAAAGGTAACAACAAAAGAGGTAGAAAACTCTAATAACAAAAGAGAACCCGAGGATTTTGAAGTTATACTTCTTTAGGCGCGTTATGAAAAAATGATGAGAGTGAAATTTTTAGATGCGCGCGCATCACTGTAACCCAAAAGTAACTGCATGAAGTTGGCCGCGGGCGCGTTATGAAAAAATCATGTGAGTGAAATTTCGAGATGCGCGCGCATCACTGTAACACAATAGTAACACCATGAAATTGGCCGCGGGCGCGTTATGAATGTTAGTGTCTAATAATGGTGGATTATTAACCACTTAGTCGTTAATAATCCACCATTATTAGACATCTGTTCGAAAGGTACTTTGAACGATCCACGGAGCTCCATAAGATGATCGCGTTGTCAAAAACAATGTTGGCACGCTCGTCGCCTCTGATCACTGTTTTCATATTTATAATATTTATCCACATGTTTCTAGTTTCTATATAGACACAACGTGTTTTAGTTACTTACAAGTGCTAATTACATATGGACTAATAACTTAAATTCAGTAGTGATTTTAATTGAATATTTTGAATATTTATTTAATTTTTCAAATTAAAACTGAACTTAATTGACTGTGTTAACTATCCTTTTCCAGTCCTTTTATTATTTTATTGTAATTATTAATTATTTGCATGCAATTAAAAAATATTTTTAATGATGCTAAAGAAGTATAACTTCTCACGCACGTACATAAGTTACACGCATCCATTTTTTTTAAAGTTATACAACAAATGGCCTCAGATCAAATAAAACAGTTAATGGCTTCAGTCAAGTGTATCAAGGTGTTAACTTTTAATCACAATTTCACCTTTACCCGTTTTCCAATTGTTATGGGAAAGGGGTGTGTTTCTAATTTGTATGGAGGATGGTAGTCAGTCTCTTGCAAACTCCAAATTTTTATGATATGTGGTGCACTTAATAGTAAATCTTTGGACAAAAATTTTAATTTATATTATGCCCATTTTTATAATTATTATAATTTAAAATGACACAGTTACTAAATGACGAAGCAGACCTGAAAAGACTGCGAAACATCAATAAATAAATAAAGTTTCGTGCATTAACCCGTTAAAACTAGTTTTATTTAGCTAATGATATGTTAGCATGTAACTACAAAAAATTATGATATGATATGAATTTCGGATCCCAGAAAAAGAGAAGAGAAACGAAAAATAATTGCTGACAACTCCGTGCAGACATACAGACAGACACAAACCACGTTATAGATTTGTATGAAAATGGGGACTTCCATTTTTCCTATACTAGAATAAATATTACAAGAAAAAGGTTTTAGTCATTTGACGATGTATTGGCTGGACTACATTATAGATTTCAAAGGTAACTATATATAGTACGAAAGTAAACTATCAAATGCAATTACTAAAGAACATGTACATGTATTAAAATGATAATGAAATAAAGTTTTGTAGGGCAAAGAGCTTGCCTTCTGGTCCTTGGTTTCATTCAAATCCTGGTAATACCATTAAAATGAGTGTCAATCACAAAAGTCTTTTCCTTTTTGTTGTTTGTAAGTATTAAATTCATACATATCTAGAGGTAATTGTTTATCTCTGCTTATTTTATGTCAAAATTATTGGTTAACAACAATTATGTGCCAGCTGCCCTAGCATGAGCATCAGCAGCAAATTACAATGAATTTTGACCACTAAGTGCGATAAAAAATGTGGACGGGAACAGGATATTATTAATATTTCTTAACATTATATTTTAATCTAGATAAACTTGTGCTAAAGAAGAAAATGGTCTGATCTTACTTAACTCATTAAAAATTGTTCTAAAACTTGAAAAAGTTTGATAACATTTTCTCTTATTGGATTCTTAACAGAATATGAATAAGATGTTAGTAAAGAATTTGTTAATTGAAAAATATATCACAAAATATTAATAAGGCATATAATTAATATTTACAGAACAAATAACTCTTGGGAACATTAATTCCATGTTCTTATAGGTTAGGTTATGTTTTGGTAAGGTTATTTACAACTATCTTGTAATGTGGTATTACAATAATTTGTCACAGCTTGGAAATCATAACAGCATTGTAACCAACATTGGTAGATTATAGATTGTATAAAATTATTAATGCATAATACTAATTCAAATGAATGAAATCCCAAAAAATTGCTTATCGATTCAAATGATAAAGGAATAAATACATTTATCATTAAAAGAAAAAGTTTCAAAAAGTTCATAAAACTTATGTGAAAATTACTGTGTATTATCAAGTTTTGGCAACAATAAAAACAGTAAACATGATAATGACATTTTATGAATTTCACTTGACAACATTGTAAAGAAACAAGCCATGGTGTTGCTGATCCAAGTGTTCATAACAATGCAACTATTTAAATGTGTTATTAATGATAATATCAATGAGTATGTGAAATAATGTTAAGTAATGACATCGCATATGAAGCCGGAAAAGGTAAGAGCTAAAATTTAAATTTATAATATTAGATATTGAACAAGGTTCATAATGAGTGATGCAAAGTGTTTCGCAATTAATACTTCACAAAGAAACTATGAAGATCAGTGTCAAGCACATGAAGGCAATCATTTAGTTGTCAATGACCTTGTCTGGGCAACATTGTTGCCTCATTTGATACACTATTATCATCAAGAATCTATTGAGAAGGTAAACTATCATTTTGTAGTGCGGATAAAATCATAGTTAAGTATATATTTTTTTCAATTTATTGTCTATTTCACGTGCGAAAGGGGCAGACATGATGTACCCCGCGCTTTGTTATCAAACAGATTGTACGCAGGTTTAAATATCTACACTAGCCATGCTACGATTGCGACCTAGCTGGCAACCGTCCAATACAAGATTTTACTGAAACAAGTCCAGAAAATGATTAGAATCACTCACCTGATATCCTTATCAGCCTCCCCACAGAAACCAGGCTCAATCTAGCACTACTCATTATCTCGCGCGATTACAACTCAGAAATAACATCAGCCTCCGAGCGACTGACAGAAGCGATACACGAGCGAAATAGAAATTAAAAATCGCCGTAACAAGTCAATTTTTATTGTATTTGTTTGTCAGTGAGAGGTTTCTGTCATGACGCAACACTTTTAGTCAACATCAACACCGCCACAAATGTTCAAAATAATTAGACGATGTAAGTACGAGAACTCCACTTTCCTATTTTTTTTTGTATTTGATTTTGCAAAAACTATATTATTTTCTGGTTATTAGAGCGGCCATACTGATGTTCACAGCTGATTTTGATTTGAAAGACGAAGAATATTTTTGTACCACGTTGTTTCAAGTAGTGCTGCCACCTAGTTTCTTTAAAAGAAAATATGAAACTGTTTTACCCTGAACCACTACCAACCCAGTTTCATGGTTCTTAACAAAGCATCGATAGAGGGCAGTAATAGTAATTATACTGAAAGTCTGCTCGTCTTATTTATTATTATTTCAGTGTCATAGAATTTAGCTACGCCTGGGTTGTTGGTCTGTCAAGGACACCATACCTTTTATTAAGCAATAGAATGATTTGATAAATGCTAATTATTTTTCGATTTCGTTAACAAAGTAATACCGGCACTTTACTTGGCTATTCGTATTTGCTTTTTCTGAACTTGACAACAGGCTGTCTTTATCATATTATACAGGCTGTAAAAAACCTATGATAAACATTAAAATTACGCATTATGTACACCCAAATAAATAATATTACAAAATATAATATGTGAGAATCATTTGTATTTTTAACCCGGCGTTCGCACAGTTGGGTCTATTTGACCCGAGCAGTTTTCAAATGAGCATGTTTCTTAAAATGTTTGTGCGACTTTGCCAAACTTCTCAGTAGCTGGAGCTAATGGTCCCCCCTCCACGTGGGATTCGCCAATCAGTCGTGATGCGGCCGCAGCGAGTGATAGACACGGCCAAACACGAAAAAGGTAAATATGACCCAACCATACTATTCGTGTCGTAATTTTGCGCCGTTTAAAAAAATGATTTATTGTTGTTTTATATTGTTATTTTTAGCGAATATGTCTGGAATAAATGCGTACATATTACATAACGCCAATTTCTAAAGAAACTTAAGCCTTATACTGGTTCGTGAGCATTTGCGCGATCGTAAAAATGTCATTCAGTTGCCAAGACTTATGCGCAAAAGAATAAGAGAGTTTTTAGGAGTAGGTACCTGATGAGGAGCCACCTGTGAAGATACTTTATGTAAGAAAGAGATGCCAAGACTGTTCTGCCAAAAAAGATAGAAAACTAATACTTTTCGGAGCTGTATATGCAAATACATCTGCAGTGAGCATGCAATGTTATACTGCCGAGATTGCGCAGATGATAAGGATACTGTGACTGACGTATGACTCTGATACAAATAGTATAATATTATTAGTTTACTAAAGATTTGATTAACATGTAACAAATTAGTTTATGTTATAGAAAAAAGTTGGTTTTGTTAAAATTTTATTACTTTAACACAGAGGTTGTCCATTTTGTTAATATTTTGTGACACTTTTATGAAAATGACATTATAAAGATAGTTTCGTATCATGTTGTGTTTTTTTCTACTAAAAACCTATAACGATAATCGTTTTATACAGATAGTAGAACCACAAACCAAATTTATTTTAACTTTTGTAAATATGGCGTTTTCTTATACGGGTCCTCTCGACCCAACCCTACTGTCGTTGATGCATATTTTGACTGTGCTGACGCCGGGTTAAGTTGACTATCGCTTTCCTGCAATTTGTGGGAGTGATTTCGTGAAATGGGACAGAAGTGTGTAACAGGAAGTCGCGAAAGCGCGCGCTATTTGATTTGATTTTAAGAACCTAATGTTCAAATGGCTTATTCCTTTTGTAGTAGGGTTTATTTCTTTTTTACTAATATAAGGTGAGGTTTCAAATGTTACACATCATACGCGACTCCTGTAAGGTTCGCTCATTTTTTTTGCAGTACGCAATGTATAGCGCGGTGCTACTGTGGCGCTAAGCAAAGAATGTCCCTGTATGTATGTGTGAAAGTGCTTCGATAAAAAAGTTTTTAAATAATGTTTTGAAAATATTAATGTATAAATCGTGAAAAAACTAATTGTGTTTTTACCTTCAATTATCTCCTAACCATAAATTTCCCAGATATGGTCCAGAAGAAGAAAATGATTGTCATGATGTGAAAAATACGTGGCCTTCGACTTCGTTAAAGGATTTTTTACACTCTGTATAAAAAGTGAAAAAGATAGACTGTTGTCAAGTTTACAAATAGAATGGTACCTGATTCTGCTTCTATCAACAATTCTATAGATAAGAGGTTGCATACACAATCAAAGATAAATACTGTCCGCGTATGTTTAAACTTATGCAGCTACATTCAATTTTGTTCCCAATAAATGAAGAAAAATGTTGTAAAACAATTTTAGTTAAACCTAATAACAACTATCTCACAAGCATATAAGGTTACAAATAACAAAATGTGATTTTGCACGTACGACCTTTTATCTTATAAAACTGACTCTTGTTCCTTTTATAAATTATATCTGATAGAAAATATTACTAGGAAAAATTCCACGTGGATCTGGTAGCGAAATATCAAGCAGTTACATGGTTAAAAAATAAATATTATAATAGGCTAGTTTACTCATGTCGAATTATATTAAATAAATGTTTATTTCTTAAAGTATTTAGTCTAAGGAACCATAATATATCGATTTCACTTCATAAAAGCAGAAGATTGCTGTAGAAATTTAATTTATAAAAATTTTTTTTTAGTCTATATTTTTTAAACACTAAAAACGCTGTTCGCCACATCCGCCATGATTTTGACGTCTCTTGTGGTAAACAACTAAATGTCATTCGCGTGTTACTGTAGGTGGATTCTTTCGTCTGACTTTTATCTTAAAACACTTAACTTTAGGAAAGAAAAAAACATTGACAAAACTAATTATGGATGCCGGCTTTGTGAAAGCAGAAAGCACAAATCTGCCAAGAATTGACGCATTGATGGTTGGTGAATTTGTTGCACTAAACCCCGATTTCTGCTCTGCGGAGCAGAGAAACGACAAGGCATCTATGTAAGTACAGTGCATTTAGTATTACAATGTAGTAATAAACATAAAACTGATACAACATATGAATAAGTGTAATAAAGTTGTGTAGGTTAATTTCTTTCGGCACTTTAATCCACAACTTTCCTGGAGTCTTCAAGGATGTGTTTTTATATTCTCGTACAATACAGTAATGATAATTACTTTAGTTTTCGTGGTATTTATTAGAAATCATGTGTTTTTTTATTATAAACTCAGTTAAAAGTAATTTTCTACGTGTTTACGAGTTTTTGTTTACCATAGTTCACGTCATAGCATAGATAATCTATAGACTAAAATGGCCGACAGCGTTTTTGTATGTCCATGAAAAGTCTATTTTAAAATTATAGATTTGTAGCTTTCTAGGTTTAAAAAAAATACAATACATTTTTTTTCGGTCTAATAGAACATTTATTAACCATTTAAAACCTTTTCCAAAAAGGGTCAACTAGCCTATTATATCTGATACTTGGAAAAAACGATAAAGGTGAAAAAAGGGAAATGTGAAATCAACCCTTTGACCCACAAAATAAAATATATTATTACTAGTCATCGACCAGCGAGTTACTCCGATTTGTATTAACTAATAAATAAAATAAATTATTTTAAAAAATAAAATCTCACGCCTCATATGAGGCTTTATTTAACAAAACGGATTTTACGCCCTGACCCGTTCGTTATCTTTAGAATTGTTGATCGAAGCGATTCTGGCATGATTCTCTAAACAAACATGAGTCCCTCCTTTTCATTATATATAGAGAATGACAAGGATACACTGTTGTCAAATTTAATTTTAGGTTTAGAGAATCATCGCAGAATCGATACCACTAGCAAACACATATACGCAAGTGAAGTACCGGCATAAAGTGTTAACATAATGCCGGCACTTCATTCCCATAATATAAATACTACTCTTTGACTTCAGTATTTGGCCATTCGTATTTGCTATTTCCAAGGAACTTATTTTTTAGATCCTTAGTTGTTTGTCTTTGACAACAGATTGTCTTTATCGCTCTCCATAGGGTGTGAAAAAGAAAGACTGTATTCATAGAAATGCCGGCATCAGATTATACAACATGATCTTGTTAACCTTTGCGTTGCCGTCATTATGCAAGAATTTATAACAAAAACTGTCATGTCCTCAAGTCGCGATCGCGAGTGATGGATGTGTTTTGTGGCAGCCAGTGAATATTGTTCAAAATGGCTGAGACAGAAACAGATAATAACAGTATTATAAGATCCGAAAGAAATAATAAAGAAACAGTGCCTGGCAATGGGCCACGGCGTGTAACTATATATAAAACTGAGACTGGTTTCGGCTTCAACGTCCGTGGTCAGGTGTCAGAGGGAGGGCAGTTGAGATCGATCAACGGGGAGTTGTATGCTCCTCTTCAGCATGTAAGCGCAGTGCTGGAGCAAGGAGCTGCAGAGCAGGCTGGAATCAGGAAGGGAGACAGGATACTTGAAGTGTGAGTACTCAAAATTCTATACCTTGTACAAGAGAGCTATAGGTCAAGAGCCTTATTGTCATTGGATTTTCCCATAATTGTTTGTAGTTTTCCACTTAGCAACCCCTTTCACGCCGGTTATTCGGTAACATTGTTACTGTACTTGTATATTAAAAAGTGCCTGACTTCACATGAACACAGCTTTTCTATTCAGCTCATTTGCATAAGTATGAATCATACTTGCCAAACTTGTTTTTAAAGTGAATCAAAGTTTAAAGTTTGGTTTTGTTTTCCTTGTGATATGAGCTGTATTTGTGCTTTTAATTACCTGTCCAATTTTCACTTAGCAAGTACAGGGTTTTCCAATAGGAACAAGGTATCTTTGACAGCCTATTGCGGACATATCAGATTGACATTTGGTGCAACTTTTTGCTAGATAAATTATTAAAAGTTCGGCATTTATTATACCAGTCCCTCAACAGTTGAACAACACTGAAATCATTAAAGAGTATAGACTTAATGGTAGTTCAATTCATCAAATGTTTCATGCATTTTGGGAAACTATTCATCAAATAGTGAAATAATTTTCAACAACCAAAGAGGAAGCTTAAAAAAAAAGCATATTTAATGCAATTGTAAACAATAGATTATTTATTATTTGAATTTGAATTCAAACATACCAGGTTCTTATTGGAACTCTGTATGTTCTGAGAAACAGTATTGACAAAGTTCAGTGACCAGTGTTACATCAAACAAACATGTTAAGTTATGTTATGTATTAACAGCTGACTTATAAGTTAATTAATTCTGTCGATTTAAGAACACTGTGTGTACAGAGAACATTGTTTATGCGTGGATTGTTTTCTAGTAAAAATTTATTTAGATTTAAACATCTAGCAGTTAAAAGCTTAAAAAAATAAAAACGTAACATTGTTTATGTTAGTTCTTTTAATTACTTAGCTATTTCAACTGCTTGGAGTATGCATAAACAGTATTTGCGGGCTATTTAAAACATTACGGCTCTAGAGATAGGTCATTTTACCAAGTTAATCTATGGTTAAACTTCTTCATTCAAAAGTAGGCTCTAACTAACACAAAAAACTGCTTATATCCCGTTGGTAGCGCGCCCGGATCGGGGCATGTGGTCTTATTTGAGTTAAGTAAAATAATTACATACATAAAGATTCAGACAGCTTGCAGCGAGCTAATCATTCCGACCCAAATTATTGTTTAATCTATTATTTGTACTATCTATCTATTTATTAGTTTTTAGTTTGTATACACAGAGGTGCTAAAGAGAAATACTCTGTAATTGAAAAAAAAAACTCAGTTTGTAATTTTTTAAGAACATTTCGAGCCCTTACCGCCAAATTATCGTAAGCGACACTCGCCAAATTATCGTAAGCGACACTTTTGTCGAAATGCGTTTTTTGTGGAAACTAATATTTTAAACCGTAACGGGCCATCTCTGTTGATATTTCCTTCCAAAAGAATATAATAGAGAATATAGAATATAATTCCGTTATAATATAATAGAGGGAAGAATAGAGGGAAATATCAACAGAGATGGGTCCGTTACGGTTTAAAATATTAGTTTCCACAAAAAACGCATTTCGACAAAAGTGTCGCTTACGATAATTTGGCGGTAAGGGTTGGATTTATTATATGTAGGTATAGGTTGCGGCAGATTTGAGCAAAGCCACAGGTAAATAAAGTTACATAACAGTAAACTTTTATGTATGTAAAATCAGGCTTCCTTGTCTATGTTGAAGGAGATGGCAAAGCAAGCTAGGGCAACTGCATGGTGATAGTGTATGTTGTTGACTGCACTTTGACGTGACATTAGATGATTACTTGATTTGTTTACTTCTGTTATGTCAGTGAAAATCTTTTATTGTGAAGTGTTGTGTAAATTATTTTGAGCAATTTAAAGTATATCTAATCTTCTTTCTCGAGGAGCTCGATGGCGCTAGTGGTTAGCGCGTTCGGCTGCGATCGTTGAAGTTTAGCAACTTTCGCAGTGGTCGGTCATTGGATGGGTGACCAAAAATTTACTATCTCGAGTTCCTCCGTGCTTCGGAAGGCACGTTAAGCCGTTGGTCCCGGCTGCATCTGCAGTCGTTAGCACCCGCCAATCCGCACTGGGCCCGCGTGGTGGGTCATGGCCCAACCTCCCTATTCCATCCATAGGGAAGGCCTGTGCCCCAGCAGTGGGGACATTAATAGGCTGAAGATGATGATGAATCTTCTTAAAGCCTTGTTTTTGTGATGATATATAGTTACAACTATGCTTAATTAAAGTGTCTATAATCGTTGCTCAAGAATTTTGGTGGGATACTATATATACATACTATATATATATAAATAAATAGCACGCCTACAACTTACTAATGAAGTGATGAAATAAAAAAAAATATACTGTCTTAAGTTTAGAATTTTCATGTAGTTTGAATTAGAAAGAAATGGGATATACTGTAGGGCCCAAAAGTAAAAACTTCACAGTTTTGTTGGTTGTAATTTCGCTTTTTTGTTGTTAAAAAGGTTTCTGTTAACCACATTATTAAAAAAAATGTCACACTTATGCACTGGTAGTTTTTTAGAAAAAAATATTGAAAATTTTTAGTTTTCTTATCAAGTGGTGATACTTCACAGTAGGTTAGGTTAGTGTTGTGACCATAACGCGCGAGCCGAGGGAGCAAAGCGAGCGTGCCGCGGCAGCGGCCGGCGAAGCGCCAGAAAAAAAAAACTGTTAAATAGACCTTTTCTACAAAAAAACCGGCCAAGTGCGAGTCGGACTCGCGCACCGAGGGTTCCGTACAAACCTCTAGGTATATTTTAATAATTATTAAAAAAAAATATTATAGGATGTAACTAAGAATTTACGGTTTTCGCAATTTTTCCTTTATCTGTACTATAAGACGTTACTTCGTACCAAATTTCAAGATTCTAAGTTCACGGGAAGTACCCTGTAGGTTTTGATTCCCGTGCGAGTTTCGAAAATTTGCGACATAAACGGCTGTATCTTTTGATTGCTTTGGCTTAGAAGTTTGATTTTTTCGCAGCTCCAAGGGACAGTACTCCTGAGTATTATATATGAATTTCAGTTTGATACCTCTACGTGTTCCTGAGAAAAACGGTCTTGACAGACGGACGGACGGACAGACGGACAACAAAGTGATCCTATAAGGGTTCCGTTTTTTCCTTTTTAGGTACGGAACCCTAAAAAAAACAAGTATCACCTTTTGGGCCCTGGAAGTACAGTTTTACCAAGAAATGCTTTCTTTCATACTGAAAATGGTGGCAGTGGCTATCATCAACTAATATAGTGTTGACTGTTCACAAGAGATGTTCCATTACGCAATTGGTAATTGAATTTGTTGATAATTTTACCACAACAATAGTAGCAATGCTTCTACTTAAGAATTCATTTAATAATTAAATGTGATAACTTTGTTTTGTTTAGAGTACCTCGCTCTTCCTTAAAGATTATATAGTAGACACATCATTATTATTTTAATGACTTCATAGAAAGTCAATCATTTCCTTTTATTTGTATGGCTTCTCCTGTGTGGACTGTAATCAATCTTCTTGGTAATATTGCAACAGCAAACTATCTGTTGCATTTTTAAGAATCAGAAACTCTGTTGAATCATGATATGAAATAATTTTAGAAATTTTGTTTGTCAGAAATTATAAAATACTATCAACTTAATTAGATGAAATATACAAGATAATGCTCCTAAGTTCATAGATTTTTGTAATTAATTAAAGATATTTAAATTGATATTTCCAAGAATTAATTATGTCTTCATTTTTAAAAAAATAGGACCCTGTGCGGATTGGCGGGTGCTAACGACTGCAGATGCAGCCGGGACCAACAGCTTAACGTGCCTTCAGAAGCACGGAGGAACTCGAGATAGAAGATTTTTGGTCACCCATCCAATGACCGACCACTGCGAAAGTTGCTTAACTTCGAAGATCGCAGCCGAACGCGCTAACCACCTGCGCCGCCGACCTCCCGTTCACCAGACCAATGCAACCCGAAAACTTTTAAAATAAAAAGCGTACTCCTTCCTTTAAGACCTACTTGTGATACTCCTGGTGTTACAGTTGATGTGCAATCCAAGGGATCTCTGCATAGAAAAGGGTATTTGACAGTATTAAAAATAAAGTGCCAATTGTTAGCATCTGTGTTTAGAATGAATATTGGCAGGGGTTTTTACTATTTTTACAAAAGTAATATTCATAATTTTATTAAAAACCCACGAAAAAGATAATAGTTTTCTTATCTATTGTCACGTGACCCAAAACGCTTGGGATTGGCGGAGCCTTAAATGACGTCACACGCAGGTAACTTCCGGTTAAGGTGACATTACATTGTATCGTTTGACGTTTTAATAACAGTCGTGTGACGTCAAACACTAGTAAAACGCCATATTGTCCAGAGAAACGTTTTTGCGGCAACTTGAAAATGGAGTTTTTGATTTGGTTATTTTTACTGAAATACACAACAGAATGGACTCCATAAACATTAGTCAATATCGTGAGATCGTTTTCTAAAACTTGTCAAATACCCTAGTTGCTACAGGCCCCGCGCCTGTTTAATCCGGCATTGTTTACGCGCTATAACTATAAAGCGGAATTAGTATAGCCGAGAATCTGTAGGCACTTTTATGTTCGAAGTAATTTTCTTAGAACTAACTTATCGATTGATAAACAGGCCCTAAGTAAGGACGAGTTAGTTACATAAAATTATCGCATTGTTAATAAGAACGTGCGAGACGGGCTCGCTCACCGAAGATTCCGTACAAATTTGTAGGTAACTTAAAAAGGCCATATCTTTTTTAAGTTAACTTTAAGTTGGATTTTTTCATGGCCTGAAGGGGCCGTAGACCTGAGTTTATGGATTAAATTTCAACTTGATACCTCCACGCATTCCCGAGATCTTGACATACAGACAGATAAACGGCCATAATCTTTCCTTAACGATAATTTAGAAGTTTGAGTTTATGGATTAAATT